GTCCAGATCTCAATCCCATAAAAATCTTTTCGCACTTGTCAAAATACATTGGTATAAGGCGAATATGAAACAGTCGTGCAAATGGCCAATCAACAAAATATTAATCGTTTGCATACGTTATTATTTTACATTATTTTCACCAGTTCATGCCCTATTTAAGCGTATTGTAATATGACAATTTTCTGAAATTTTATTTTTTCAGTGGAAATTAATAACTGTTACGTTAGCAAATATTAGTTTATAACCGCAACTATGTTATATTCTTAAGAAAAGTCGTTTATTACTGCCGTGGGATTTCGGGGAACGCAGATTGGGCGGATTGCGCGTTTTAGGGATTTTTTGTGTTAACAATATATCTGATTGACTATTAACACACATGCATTTGCATGTTGGAGTTTGAATGGGTATTGTCCGAGACATTTGTGTTTAAAGTTCATCAGAGCCAGTTATTTAAATTCTTCGATTATCTCGGCCTGTGTATAACCATAAAACTTTTGATTCCGGATACTTCTGGCTGCTAACATAGAAACTGACTAACCAGGAACTAGATAGAATGGAAATTGCATAACTTTAAAAGCACAGGGCAAGAATACAAAATTCATTTAGACCTTAAAACTAAACATAATCAAAAAATAGGATAATTTACGCTTTGTTTATGAAAAATATTATATGCCAATTTTTCAATGGATAAGGCCAAATGAAGTCACATTGTGGCTTTTTAATTTCCTCAGAAATAAACAGTTAACTTGGAGTAAGTCTGTTCAAACTGAGGTCTACAGGGTCAAACGGAAATATTTATTTATGAATATTTAGGCCAAACTTCATCCGCCATAACCGGTAACCGCGTAATATTCATTAGCACTTAGGCAGTTAGAAGTATATTTCAGGGTTAGTCGATCCCATATTAACAACACGGGTACTTGCCAAAAGTCCCTACACGTGTGTTTCACAGATAGTCTGCCCCTGCATGACAAAGCTGCGAGGGGTTCGGCTCATCAGTGGTTCTCAGGATTTCTCGCCTGCATTCTAGTAGAGACTCTAATTTAGAAATTGCCGCTTCTTCAACGTCCTCAAAAATGAACTGCGAACTTGAAGCAGATCGGTATATTTAAGGTCTTAGGCTCCGACCGAAGTTTGCAATTACTTTTTAAGGAAATTAATAGAAACTTTTTGCATTAACGTATCTACCAGAAATCAGACGAACAATGTTGGGGAGCCGCTGAAGAGCCGAATCCCTGGCAGCTGTGACAAACAGCGGCAGAATATCAACAAAAATCGCGTGTATGGACATTTGGCTATTACCTGTCCTGCTAGTATGGTATCCCCTTACACTAAAATTCACATTTTACTCAGTTCCAGTATCAGCATCAGTGTATTTCAGGAACAATAGGCGTGTGCCTTTGAAATCCCTATTGCTAACATGGAGAAGAACTATATGGAGAAAATGGAAAGCAAGAAACATGGAAGAAATGCAAGAGGAATAACTCTGCAGATGAACATAGAATATAATGAGTTACTAGCATTTGAAGGCATATGATATCGGTTGGTTGACTAAGTTCAGCATACCGATGAAACACACATATTATATAGGAGAATAAGTGAAGAATTTTTTAGTCTGCGGGTATCGTGGTGAATGCGAGCAGCGGTGAGTGCCGTTGTTTATGATAATTAAATTACATACTCCTATGTTACTTTAATATTGCTAGTAGCACGATCATAACGCTGAATTGTCAACTTTAGATATTGTTGTGGCTTTAGTCCGGCGCTGCTGTGATAAGCGATCCCGTGTAGATCCAGTCTCCGTTCATAAGATACCGATTTATTTTCAAAGACTTATACGGCAATGTGGATCTAGATGCTCATCGATATAACCGTCAAAGGAATATTAAAGCTGGGACAGCAGGAACAGACTGAAATCCTCAGCGCGCACGCCCTACTGAGGTAACAGCATTTACGATGGAGCGGCCGTCAGCTGAGGATAGACAACGAGCCTCCTTCCAGGCGACTTGTATTTCTTCGATGCATCTGCAGGTGTTCGCCGATAGAGTCCTTCACGACACCATGAGGACATCTATCATGCAACTTCAAATCAACTCGGTGACCTCGTCCAGCGCCAACCGACATGGAGAAGTGCAGCGAAGACTGGGGCAGCAGTCTCTGGAACCAATCCAATCACCAATGCCAAAGTGTAAATCGCAAGTCTCAAGGTCCTCCAATCCCAAATGCCAACCACCAACTTTCCCCTGCAGATCCACACTGTTAACCAATATTTCGGACGCGGATAGGTCTCGATGAACATCTCTTCACCAAATGCAAAAACAACTCGATAACTCCACCTACTGCCTCCACAAATGGCAGTGATCTAGACGATGTCGGCAACACGCGCAGGAGTGGGTCTGTGTATGCTCCTGATTTCGCCCTTCCCCAGTCGAGCGAGGAGGTGTCCTCGTACACTTTTGCATAGACGCCGACTCGTACGATCAAGATAAACTGCTCTACAGGAGCTAGTAATGAAGCCGATGCGCACACGCCATACTGAGGTAACAGCATTTTGGACAAATATGAATCCGCTTTAAACGCCACCAACAGCCTGAACAAAAGTCATTTAACGCACAAAAATAAGCTAAAGAAGAGGAAGACGCCGAATAGACAGGCATAGGATGTTCATGGGGTTTTTGAGGGATTATTTTGCTTGGTAGCCATGGATACGAATATCGTCATACCAAAATTCCACTACAGTCTTCCTCGCGTGTATGCGCTCAGGAGAGATTGGGCAAGGCGATATAGCAGGTGACATTTTCCCGATGTTTCAACGAGTACACGATCCCAGCTGGCAACTCGAACTGAAGCCCAATCCTATGCATCACCAGACCCAACCACGCATCGTCAATGTGAATGCGCTTAGTGTAGAACATGGCTAAAGCCAGATCCGCCACGTGATCGTAACCAAGCATGTAGAAGTATCCGTTGCTGTAGGGCGCATGCACTGTCCACGGAACCTCCCGCTTCGACAGTGCCCATTTCAGGACGGCCGAAGTGTCCGTGGGACACACTGTGGGACTATTCGAGCGAGTACTCGAAATGGAAACACTGCGCCGCCAATCCACCGGCAGACTGAGCAAAACGGCCTGGAGGTGTTACCCATTGAAACCAATGTCATCGTCGAGGAACATGAAGGCGGGACGTTCGCGACAGAACCTGGCCGCCCACACGAATGTGTGATGCATTTTCAGAGACAGATTGTAGTAGGTGTCCTCGAAGTCGCCCACGATGAGATCATCGTGTTTACGCATCTCCTGCTCTAGGCGACTTCGAATCTGGGCGCGGCGGTTTACAATGTTGACAAGTGAGTTGCCGGCGCGACCGGGCAGTAAGATGTTGAAACCATCGCGTTGGAATGAATTGCTTCTTTTGCTTGTGGGCAGGCCCACCACGAACACTACTTCTATGCGATAGGCCGGTTTAGCGCTGCTGTCGTTTCTCAGATGGACGTAGAATCTGCGAAAGTTTTGTCTGTCCTCGAAGTTGTAGACGGCTGATTTCACAATGACGACGAGGTCGTGGTTGTGTTTGCGGTCAGCAGCCTTAATTCCCTCCGGTGGACAAACCGAAGTGCTCACTTTGAGAAACCGCATGCTGGGGCCGTTTACTGTAGGCTGCAAACGTGCAAGAAGATTCTGAATGAACTAAAAAGAATTTTGTCGCAAAGACGTGACAAAGGTTACTTCTAGTGAATTGTGTTTTGTGGTTTTATTGGATCCTAATACTTAAGTATTTATCTGAATTCTGAATTGAGTAATTAGCGGCTGACTATCTTCTGACCTAGCATTTGCCATAAGATTTTCTCTAGGCGTT